TCCCCCCCCCCCCCCGCTGAATTATTCAAATGATGGTGCGGCTCTTTTCTTCGTGGTTTGTCTACAGATGGCAACACAAGGTCACCCCGTCGAGGCGACTCAAGAAACATGCTCAGCGAGGCTTGCTGGTCGAGGTAAGTGGGGAGGGATTCTCATTGATAGATAGGAGACTTGGTACCCACATATCCAAAATCGCCATATGGTTGCACTCAGTCCATCCTGTCACCACCGGAGGTCAACTTTCCATACTCGTCCAACCGAGGTCAGGCTGGTGAGTTGCAGTTGCTAAACACCAAAACTTGTCCAATAAGGTGAAGCTGCGGTCTAATCGCCGAGCGGAGTAATGAACAATGGCATCCATCAGAGGCGGGAAGCTCTGGAAAAAGGACACTAACGTCGCTCAACGTACTTCGAAAAACCTCGCATGCCACATTTTCCAGCACGACCTCGAGTTAACTTGGAAATCCGCTATAACCTCATCCCACCAAAGCAAAGCTGTAACCGCACGGTGTTTGCACTCTGAACTGCACATTGCTTTGCCCGGCGAGTTTCCGTCAATATTGAGGCTTTCCCGGGATAGCCATGATCCCGTCGTTGTCAATGGTCCAAATGTTTACGCGGTGATCTCCTCAGATAGATTCTTCAACCTCGAAGTTTGCACACACACACGCCTAACTCAATCTGAGGTAACATCCAGCGTGACGGTCGCCTACCATGCTGGCCTTGACGCCGGGTCTTCGACTAAGGTTCTTGAGACACTTCAACCAGTCTTTCAACGAGTCGTCAGCTGGAGATTGAACGCCTGCCTCCCGTGAAGTCCAAACTCTAGCTGTGCTGATTTTTCTTTTCTCTTCTCCCCCGAGGCGAACGCATGACACTGCGGACGGATGCCGCCCGTCTTACCCCTCCTTCCAAATGCCCTCAGAGGCCGATAGGGGAAACCCTCACAAAGGCCGTAGGACTCGTGGATGCCTCTGTGGCACACCAGCGGCGCATCAGGAACCTCTTCAGCGAGCTTGAGTCCAGAGAGAAAACGCTCGAGCAAACGGACAATAATGGGGAGGGGGAGGTCCCTGCCGTGGTCCAGGTATGTCTTTTGTATTTTTTGCCGTTGTTCTCCTCTCTGCTGCTCACCCTGCAGAGGTCGTCGTCGTTGTCCGGGCTGTTGCTGATGTCGCGGCTTTTCTGGCTGTTGTTGCTGCCGTTACTGCTGATGCAGTTATTTCCGTCGTTTCAGATGGCTCTGAACCTCGATGCATATGTTAAAGGGGTGGAAACGGAAGGGAGGCCGACGACGCACAATACAACGGTTGAGTACAACTGGACGATTGCTTGGTGAGCACTTTTTAACTAAACTCCGATTTGTGATGACATTACGCACACAGATGGCTTGGCACGAGTCCAGAACCCAGGAAATACGGGTATCCAAGAAGATGAACGAACTGAGGTATGTAAGGTTGAATTTGGCTGATTCCATGGTGAACGGGATCCACATCACCCGCAACAAGGAAGAGCGCGGCTTACATGTTGGAGAAGGTGGCCACAGTAGTTTCGTCGATTTGATGTGTGGTCGGTCGCAGGCACCAAACAGGTGTGTCATAGTCCGAACAAGGGTGCCTTGGCGCGGGAAATACCCTAGAAACAGAACTTTCTTAACGCTTCCGAAGTACATTATTGCAATGGGGAAGAACGTAATCCGTACATCCTAGATCCTGTTTGGTGTTTGCGGAAGGTAATTTTGCGACAGCAGAGAATGCTAAGAGTGTTGTTGTAGCAAAGGTATTTTGTAGTTTGGATTCAGCCGGTAGTGCATTTCACCGAGATATTGTTGTGCTGAAGAGCCACTACTGTGCTTTGTCACGTATTCGTAAGAACGTAGAATTCCAAGTCGAATCCCCCCTCAAGACTCAGGAGACAGACTCAAGCGGAAGTACCGCGTTGTTGTGGGAATCGCTCCCCTTGCGATGGACTTCTCATCTAACAAAGGCGGGCCTCTCGTGTTCCTTCCCGCCGAATGCTGTCCTTATATTGAGCCTCCTCCTTCCGCTCTCTGCGCCGCGCCGTTTCGAAAGGGACGATGCCGATTGCGACAACGCGATCGCACCCGTTCGAGCGATCCAGCAGCTGGAGGCCTACCTGCTGTCTGGCGTGGCCGTCCTCAAGAGCTACATGACGACGGGGGCGCGCATCACGGTCACGGAGATTCTCTCACTTATGTCTCAGGTGAGTGAACGTTTCTTTCCGGAGAACCGATACATGTCACACAATTTTATACTTCTTCCTCTGCCCAATAGAAACATCTCCACGACATATTCGGTCACAAATAAACCCACAAGAATGACCAGGGGAAACCTGCCCGCCGGAGACAACCCCGGTGAAACGAACCAGACCTATGGCCAGCACTCGTCGATCATCCTTGCGTTGCAGTCTTTTGTTAAGTCTGTAGGTCGGGTAGACAGCAATCCGTGACTGGACAAGGCCCACACACGCGAGGCAACCCCCTGGCATTGGCGTCGTTGGAGACAACGAAACCCTGATTCTCGGCCGCGTGCGTAAAGCCATGGTACGGATGATGCCATCTCCAACAAACAAGAGAACAATCTTTATAAAACTCAGGTGACGTTCGCCGCTCACACCGCCGAGGCGCTGTCCCGCTGGGCCGGCGAGGCCATGGAGACGCTTGGGAGGGAGAGGGACAGAGCCCACTCCCTGCACAGGGAAAACGCGCAGGTCTCGAGGGAGGCTACCCTGGCGCAGAAGGAGATCATGAGCCTGGAGGCCAAGATATTCCACACCAGAAAAGAGGTTCGCTGGTCTCTCTTTCTTGAGATAAAAATCTAGAGATATTCTACACCAGAGAACAATTTCTTTGGTCTGGTTTTCTCAAGATCTACCTAGACGAATTTGTGCGTAGCTTTTGTCTTGGACGAAGCGCCAGACGTCAACTTCCGCGGCCATGGTGTAGGAGAGGAAGATGAGCCTGGAGACCAAGAGTTTTTCATTGCAGAGAGGCGTTTGCTTGGCTTAGTTGTTTCGGATTATTGGTTTCTCAAGGTACGAGCATGCGACGTTCCTTCTTCTTGCCACCATCATGAGTCTTTGCCCGTCACAGGGCCTCATGTCCCCAAACCTGGGAAATGATATCCATGATATGATAAGAAACACTACAGTGTGTGTGTGCACTCGCTCATACTACCGTGGTGCACCGCGTATTGGAGGGATGGAAGATCGACATGCTCACAACAAGCCCACAGAGCAGAAACACGTTCGCATTGAACAAGGATTCTATTTTCTCCTGAATCGACCAATGCAAGTCGCGTTTTCAGCTACAATATAGCCAAGGAATTTGTAACCATATTTGAAACACTACATGAACTCATGTGTACGTCAAATATTGTTGTCCCGGCCACGCAGGCGGGGTCGTTTACGTGTTCAACAATGAAGTGTTACCTACCTGTGGGTTGATAGCACAACCACTTGCCAGTGGCCGATCCCACACCAAAAGACAGATCAGTGTTGGTCGCCAGTGTGGAATGTCGAAAACCTAAGCTTTGTGGTGGTTGGATTTGACACCTAACTCTTTCCTCTGACGGATAAGTTGCACAGTGCCCCGTGTGTTACACCTACCTGTTGGAGGCGTGTGAGCTGGGTATAGAAATCACGGTGTTCTCACTCCAAAATAGGTTCTTGTCAATGCTAAAAGGAGTAAAGCAAGCAGCCGACAAGCACACCCGCATGCCCCATTAACTCCGCCCACCCCC